ATTGAATTATTTTGCAACATTATTAAAATAAAGTTTTGCCAACACTTGAAAGTATTTCGGCGGCTTTGATCCTAGTAAGTTGCAAGAGTATGAAATGTTCGGATTTACCCGAACTTAGCACTTGCTTACTTGCTTGTTTTAATATTACGTCGTAGTCCTAAAATAAGATAAAATCGGATCAATGTTACCCCTAGTTCCTATTTAACCAATATTCAAACTTCTGGTTGTCTTTATACCGTATATATCGGTCAATATATAATATATCTAGCAAGACTAAATGATCGTATAATATATCCTCCCCACTCCTCTGTCACAACAAAACACATAGGCACTAGGGATAAAAGGATGCCCAACTTATTCCAGTGTGAGAGCTCCTCAACATTAGCGTTTTAAATAACATTTTGCATTGTTGCCAGATTAGTCAAAATAGTAATTTTTGGGCATTTAAATTAAAACACCCAACATTTATTAAGATTAAAAAGTATTGTATACACTACCTTGTTACTTAATAAAGAGAATTAAACGTATTAGCTTTCAATTAATACATTTTTTTATCATTTTCAATTAAAAATTAATACTATAAACCATGCCATCACATATATTTTAATTTCTCGTTTCCTGGCCGCCCTTATTTTTTTGCGAAAATTAATTTATGCTCTCACTTCCAATGACAATGACTGTGCTTTAATGAAATTAATGGGAAAAGTTTTCTTAAAAATGTGGTTTAGCGCTGAATATAAATGAAATCGGTTTAGACATTGGTCAAAGTCCTTTATATCTAATATATTGATTTCTCTGGTTGACTTTTTCATCATATGCCCAACATATTTTATTTAGCCACTTGGTTGAGATTATATCACATATAATATAAGTACATTGTGTTACTTACGTAGTTATTGATATAAATATTTCGGATATGAATCAGAATATAACAATAAAACTAAGTTAGTTTAAGATCTGCATTATAAATTAACAAGATACCAAACATGATTGTAATCCTTTCATGATTCATTGTTGAAGTCTATCGCATCATTTTATACCATCGCAGCCTGTTGCCACAGAGTATAATAGTTTAGCACAGCCCACTTTTAGGTGAAAACCCATATCTTGAGATCTGCTTAACCAATTTCAACAAAATTCGGTACATAACGTTATTTTCATATTTCTATGTTAAAGTGCGAAAGTTGGCGAAATCGGACTACAACCACGCCTATTTCCCATATAACACCATTTTCAATTCCATCTGATTCTTTCACTTTCCACTATGCATATCAAGCAACAATGATTATATCGGGGTAAAACTTTGCGTGAATAATACGTTGAAAGTATGCCACCTTGTGACCAAAAATTGTCTAAATCGAACCAACTGCCCCTAAGTACTGTTTAAGCCCCTAAGTACTAAATATGTGGACCACAGTGCCTATAGTTGACCTTCTACCGAAAATATCAGCCAATCCACAAAGAAATCTTAAACGAGTGTACCATTGGACTTTGCGAGAGTTTAAAATGTTTGGTTACATCCGAACTTAGCCCTTCCTTACTTGTTTAATATAAAGTTTTGCCAACTCCCGAAAGTATTTTCCCGGCTTTGATCCTTGTGAAAGTGTAAAATGTTCGTTTACACCCGAGGTTAGTTTTTTATTCATTTACGAATATTTCAAACAAAATTAATAATACTTTTGTATAGCTATTTGGAGGAAGAATTTTGCAAGTTGCTCTCACAAAGAGAATAATAACGAAAAAGTAGCAGAAACCATCAAAAAAATATAAAACTGTTTTTCACAATCACTTCATATCAACACTTTAAAAATAATCAATAGAATTTTTATTTTCACAATTCAAAACAATAAAAATACTCAAAATCAAAACATATTCGTCAAATATCGCTTGTATACAACGTTCATAGAATACAAAGTTACGCCAATGGTCCATTTGCGTTCTCGGCTTTAACAGCTTTACCTACAAACTATCGTAAATATGTATGTTTATGTATGAGCATGCATAACATACATATCGACGGAGATTTGTGCTAGCCAACGAAAAACATTTTTCTCTTCCAAAAGGAACGTCAGAAGGTAGTTTAATTTATGATTTTTAGCTTTTGCCATCGCACAATGGTTTCGCCCATAATCAATCATTAATTGTTGTGTTGTTAAAAAAGTTAAGTGGAGCTGCCCATATTTACCCAAATGCTCTGATCTCTTTATTAATGGGCAACGAAAACTTTCTTATAACGACGAATTAATGCTACTAAAGCCAACTATAGATTTACTTGAGGAGACAATATTAAAATTATTTATAAAATTGTTGTTCGTTTTTGTTCTAATTATAATATAAAAATGTTTTTCTTGGTTTATTTTTCTGTTATCACAACATTTTTGAGTGCCACCAATTAATGCAAATATTCTTGAAAGTGTGTATTTTACTTTGTGTTGTGTCATTATTAGTAAAACCACACCTACTGATTGTTACTGCAGATATTTATGGCCGTGACCCCCTTACAAGCGAAACCACTGTGCATCGTCGCGAAAAGACGCTTGTTGGTAAATGCATGCTCGGGGAGATGTGTATGGCGTTTCCTTTTATGAATGAGTCAACTTCGCTTGTTGAAAGTACGCCTGCGTTCATGAATGAAAATTTTGTTGTTGTGTAATTTACTATAAATTTGGGGTACGTCAATCTGGCTGCCATATTGACATATGTATGTGTGTACTGCTTATGCTACTTGAGACAAGTCTTGTTTTGGTAGAACGATGTTTGTAATTTTTGCGGATGACATATAATATTTACATGTGAACGCATATGTGTATTTAGGTTTGTGTATGCATTATTTGTTCGGCGATGTCATAGACACATGCATACATATGTAGATATAGAGCAGTGCGCGCACATGTTATTACTGATAAGTGATAGCTTAGTGATTACATATATAAATTACTATTGTAATATATTATGTTTTTCAGTGTATTAATACCATATACATACGTATATGTATATGAAATTATATAATGTTATGAAACTTAAAAATATAAAAATAGGCATTATTTTCGTTGATCAAATATTACTTTGAAATAATATATTAATTTATAAAAATGTAGTCAATTGTACGTGTATTCATAAATAATCACAAAATGATATTCATACCAAAGCATATGATTGCATACATACATATAAGAAGACTAACATGCGGCTGTAATATCAAAGTAAGTCCCTAAGCATAATTTTAATTCAATGCTTAGTTCTGTTGACGTGACACTGTTAAAATGTCTCCTTCCAAGCTAGAGCTGCAAAACAATCGATGGGACTATCGATAGTTTTATTTTCGACTCACTATCGATAGTTTATTTTGACTATCGATGGTTCATGCCTGCACTAGACTCATCCATAATTTTCATAAAATTTCAAAATTGAAATACGTAAGAAAGGTAAGGGTATACAAGAGTTTCGGTTAAAATTGTCAATTGGGCCTTAATAAACTCATAGAAACTTTAACAGAAATCTCTGATTGCGCTATTGGGTAATTAACCGGCGATATAACCGATAAGTGGCTTGTTGGGATGGTAGCCTCAAAGTCATCTTTTAATTCTTGGCTTGGTTTCAAATTCGTTAGTACAGACAATTTTCAAAACAATATACAAATTATTAAATTTAACTATTTTTTACACTTTAGTTAGGTTTTGGGTGCATTAGAAGAAATGTAGCGGAAACATTTACAATGTGGTAAGAACTTCTAATGTCTGAAATATCGGCTGCACATAGCCTCGGTTACTCATGCACACAGCCGCAATTCAGAATTTTTAACGTCACGGTAAAGAAACATCCATTTTTTTCAGTACTCCTGATTTTGGAGGATAGAGTTATGAAATTGAAATATATTATGTAAACATTATGTTGTGATCGAATTTTACAACATACATACTCATAGATACTCCCAGAGGCATTAGTCTGCTTACAATAATTAATTCTAAGTTTACAGAGTCGGAGAGAATGTTTAGCTAGGTTGGATTGCTAATATCTGATAGGAGAACAGCACTAAAAAATTACTATTTTTAAACAAAAACAAGTGGATTATTGAGGAATAAAGTACTCTACTGAAATGTATTTTAAGGATAAATTTCTTAATCTCATATTACATTAGTAAATGTATACAAATTTACCTTTTTTTAATTCGTCAACTCTCAGCTTCCAGTCAATTTTATATGTAACTTAATTAATTTTTTTGTGTTTTCCGTCATTATTTATGTTTTGTTTTATCAATAAATCCAAAGATTATTTCATAAAAATGAAGTATACAAAGCCAAGGTATCTTAATTTGAACCAGCGAAAAGTAGGTAGATTTCAAGAGAAAAAACTATCGATAGTATTTTTTTAACTATCGAGTGATCTAACTATCGATAGTTTTGCTGCTCTATTCCAAGCTAACTGTGGTGAAATACGCTCATCGTGTACGAGTAGCACGGTTTTATTTTTGCGTTCTCTGCGCCGAGAACCTTCTGTATGATATACGTTCTCTGTTTATACCATATATGTGTATGTGTATGTATGAATGTATAACCGATATTGTTGTACCCAAAATATTATTACAAATCTAAACTTAACATACATATTGCCATCATAAATTTGATATGACTACCCAGTTCTTCTATTGGTATTTGCGTTCCAGTAAATATATACCGAGAATGGTGTAATTTCAAATCAAAGAATGGCTGTTTGATGGGGAGAAGCAAAATACCACATACCTTTAAAGATCTGCTGTTGTAATCGATATTAGCATTTACCAGAGTTCACATGTACACATACTATGTACAAATGCATGAGTGAATATATGCCGCACACAAACGCACAACGCTATGAACCCAGTCAAGTCCCTAAACTCCTCACAGAACCGATCTGTGGCAGTCGCGTTTTTACTTTCCGATAAGATACCGCTTACATACGACACACGTACGTTTATTTTCTTTGTTTTGTGTATTTACATATTTATGTATTTATATACTCACTTATTATTATAGTTGACTTTAAAGGCTGTATGTCGAACCCAGTGTCAATTAGTAGTTCGATTTCATTTCAATGTACATATGTATGTATGTAGACGTTATTCTCTTCGAACAAAATGTCTGAAGTTGATAATGAAATCTATGATGGGGTAAAAATAGATAAAGTTAGGTATTACATATGTACATACTTATAAAATGTATTTCTGTAAATTTTGAATTAAAACTAATTGCTATTTGCCTATAAGCATAAGCAAACATTTCAATATTCCAACTAAATACCAGTCATGATGAAACGAGATCTCAAAGTAATAAGTTTTTTCTTACATTGTTGTTGCCGAGTTATGTCAATATTGTGGCAAATATTTTATTTACATACATATATCACACAAGTGTACAAACATGTAGATATAAGCATATACCGGCATACTTATGTACATACATATGTATGTCGGCATGAGTATTGCTGGTGATCGTGTTATTGATGTTGTTGGGAGTAACTACGAGTCGCCTGCTTACTAACTATTTAATCGTTTCTCTTTCTTCGCTCAATTGTTATTATAATGTCAACGCATTCGGTTCGTGTTCTGCTGATACTGATATTGCATTTATAGTATTTAAGCGCTTGAAATTCATTCACAAGAAAAAAAATACGGAATTTCGTGTAGAAACCTTATGAATTTTCAAAAAAGTTAGCAACGTGTTTTTAAGTAAGTTAACGATTACTATACTTGGCTATATACACAGCGTACGGGGAATTAAAAAAATTATAAACTTTCTTATCAATAAATGCAAATTGTTTTTGTTTTGCGATATTTTTGAGCTTTATTTAAAATATTGATACTTAGTTTTGTGTATTATCAGTTTAAACTATTTGTATGAGAACGTAGCAACAAATATGGTTTATACAGAGATGTAAAAAATAAATAATATATATTCCCACAAAGATTGGCTATAAAAGTGAAAAATATCTGTTAGTCATATGCTTAAAACTGACTTATGTATGTATAAATGTGATTCATAGTTACATATGTGTTTTTATAATAACAAAAGCGGTACTTTTAAATACTCAAATGCTGTTGGTGTTGTTGCTACAGCAGAGGCTATTCAGATATAATATTACTCGGAATTGAACAAATACATATATTTATGTACATATATATAAGTGAGGAAATTTGCAAATAAAGCGGGCTCACTGACTCACGCTTGACTGGCGATTACACATACGTATCTATATGCATGTATACATTTTAAACTGTCATCACAACTCAGACAGCGTTAAGCTTGAATTGGCATACATACACTCCTATTCTATATATACAGACATACTTACATTCTAGAGCTTGGCCATAAAATAATTAATTAAATTCGCGAAATGAAGTCTATAACAGCCATGGCTCACACTCCCAATTTAATCTCATTCTCGCTGCTTTTAAAAAATACTACTCGAGATCTGCGAGTATCGCTTGTTTGTACGTACATACTCGTAAATACTTGTATGTAAACATTTCAGTGGCACATACTTGAAGCTCGACAGTATCTGATAAGATCTGTAACTGCGCGATCATACGCGCAATTTCATACTTCATTTACCAATAACTACTTTGTTGACAATTAAAATTATTTGACGACTATGTAATAGAAGCATTGAATGAAAAAATTGAGTCAATATTAACTTAAAGCCCCACTTTAATCTAACATGTGCATACATACATATATGTATGTAAGTTCGTACTTATGCACATTAGGTCGTATTGATCAAATATTATAGTCCCTGGTGGAGTTGTTCATTACCTTCAAATATTTTCGTATCATTCATCTTTGAACATATCAGAATTTTATTTCCTTTTTCGAAAAATGGTAGATTAATGGCTAATTTATGACTTCGTCTTAGCTATTATGATTTTAGAATCTAAACTTGATATTTTTGTAGGCCAAACGGAGCCAAGTAAGCCATGTTTTAAGCACCACTGATTTAAAGAGAATTCTCATTATTTTAAGACAAGGGCATCGTCTTCACTAATAGTATTGTGGATGCTACTTTAATTTCGATACTCTGCAATAAATGAAAAGCTTCCAGACGAAAATGTGTCAAATAATCCATACAACAACTTGATTTTAATCGGTCAGTTTATATGACAGCTATGCTATAATGATCCGATCTGAACAATTGTATCGAATATTGTAGCATTGCCTTGGGCAGTAATTTATGCCAATATGTATGTACGTTATAGGGGCTCCGACGTTTCCTACTGGGTGATACAAAGCTCGTGGCAACCTTAAATATTCTGTTAAGGGTATAATAATTAGACAAATAAATAGGAAAAAACGTATTAATTATCTAATGGATATCTAAAAACACGAAGAACTAGGTCGCGTACAAATATACTGGATCTAAAAAGCGAATCCGAAAAACTCTGCTATTTTTATAAAAAAAATATCAGTTGGAAATAATTGAAAACAAACTTAGTTGGTTGCAAAGATATAGCAAAAAACTGTGATTCTTTTGAATCTACTGAAAATCCAGTTATTTTAGGGTTACAGAAAGGCTAAGTACATCACATAAGTTATTATTTCTTTACAATCGATATCGTTGAAACGGTAAGATACTACAAAATTAAATTGATAGCATATGTTACGGTCCTTCTAGACATTGCAATTAAAAATAAACTTAATTTCGATGGACATATTTAGTAGATTGTTGAAAAAATAAGTTAACAAATTGGATTTCAGAAAAAATATTGTAAATATAGCTGTCTTCGATTCACAACTTTTCTGCTTACTATCTTTGCGTGCTGCTCTCTTGTCAAAAAAAATATATGAAAATCTACAACAAAGTATGAAGTTGAATGCGTACAAGAGAGTATGAGAACATCTTATAAAAGTAGTATATTCGCTATCTTCAATGTTCCCAAGTTTTGGTTTGCATATTTTATATCAGTTTTACTACTGTGAATGGCTCAAATGACAAATAAAAATATAAATTTCTTTTTTGCTGTGATTTTAATAACATAAGACTGAAAATCATGTATAATAGTTTATGAAAAACAAAACTAAGAAGTATTTACCCACCAAAAAGGAAATGTAGCATTGCAAATGCTGCCCGTTTGTGTGAACTTCTGGTATAGTTTGTTCAAATCGCTACTCTCCGAATCGAAAGAGATTCAAGATATTGTCTACAATTATCGATTTAGTTGATAGTATCAAAGAGAAATACCGATAAATGAAATGCTTATCCTTTTACGGGTATATCGGTTAGGTGAAAAATAAATAATATTTTGTCATAACATGAAAAGTATCTTTGGTATACGGTAATGCGCTGAAATATTTACTGACTTACTTTGTCTATATAGTAAATCAAACAAAACAAAAACAATCTTAGCAGCCATTATTTAGAAAGGAAGAAGAAAAACTAAGGAAAGTTTCAAATAATTCAACTAAGTTAATCATACCTATGAAAATGTAAATCTGTCGTGTCGTTCGGTCGTCACGCTTAAACTACTTGAGGAAAATTATTTGTCGCTTGCTCAAAATACCTTATGACGATTATCAACCAATGACACTATAAACTATCTTGATTTCGAGATTTTTTATTATTAGCGATAAGTTGCGGGTAAAACATATTTTATTCCGAAAAATTGCTAAGTTATAATGGATAAGAGATATATAAAATGTTAAACAATATTTATTTTGTAAACTTAAATTTAACAATCTAAAAATGAAAATAGTTATTTCGCGTAGGTTTCCACGGGGAATAAGTTTATTATTTTTTTGTAACTAGAGGACCCCGTCCATGCATTGCTGTGGCTAAGATATACATTAATTATAAACTATTCAATACAGTAAAATTGTATTTAGAAATAAAAAAGAAAACGTTATTCCTGGTGTAAGGATAACTCTGTAGATTACTTCCGAATTCGAAAAGGATTGATACTAATTTTCTTCGATTTGTTATTAAGTGTGTTTTCAAAATTGTTAGTTGATAACATTTGAGATATTGAAAGGGGATAGACCATTCTTAATTTTTAACAATAATATTTATAGTTTTTAAACATTTTCAAAAAAAAGTTTAATTCAGCTCTATTCATATCGTACTTTCTGACAGTATCATTGGAAAACGTGGTAAAAGGACAATTTTCAACTTTCCAGTCAAAATGGTTGCTAAATTAATATTTCCTGTAATCTTTTTGATTACAAAACATGTACCGTTGCATAATTTAGGTGGATTGAAATTACGATTAATAATAATAGTTGATTAATTTTCAACCAAAGGTTATGTGATGGCATTCCGAGTATATCTAAATGATTTACGTTTTCATTTTCATCAACAAGAACAGCGAATGATTTAAAGTACATCTGATAGCCTGACAACAACTGTTGTGACTGAAAATTAATTTCATCAACTTCTACATTTTTGGTCGCGAATGTAGCCCGATTACTGAGCCAGTTATGACACAAACTATTAAGTTTCACTTTCAGGAATATACTCAAGCTTAAATAATCAAGTTTTTTTTTCGTGATACACTGCGTATTTGGTTGCAGGTCTATTCTAACATTGCCAATATCTAGAAATTGTATTATTTCTTACAGTGGATCAGTTTGCAAATATTCGCACATATTTATGGTCAATTAAAATGCTTACATATTGCATTGTTCTGTGCAATGTATATAGACTACAGAATTTATTAATAATTTTAATTAGTTCTTGTCAACAAATATATTCAAATATATAATATATTCGCAATTTTGTAGAAACAAAACAATAGAAAATTAGTAGTACAGAGTTCAGTCAAAAATGGTGCATAAAACGAATTCACACTTTAACGAAACTATTGCTGTATGACTATCACTGGTTTAACTTCTTTAATTGTTTTGGTTACTATTCTTTTATAACTTTTCATTAACTTCCACCTAAATTATACTAATAATTAAAGAATGTAATAATTGGTTATCAACAAAAATCTTTTGTTTTATCTATTGTTCATACTCATATGATAATCAAATTATTCACCCGTAATTCTAATAATTATTTGATCTTTGCAGTCACCTAAAACTATACATTCAATTAAATAAAATCTATTAAGTGAAGCTCTTGTGTGAAATGGCATCTCTTTATGTTCGTCAACACATGCAATAACAGAGAAGCAATTTTATAGATGTGAATAAATATTTTTTTTTTTGTAATTGACCTTTTTAAATTACTTAATTGACATTAATTTAAAGACAATGAAATACACTACGATCTCTGGGCGAGCACCACTAAGTCAACGCAAGTCTTCACAGGCTTTTATTAACGCATGTATGCACAAACATATGTATGTATGGTATGTATGACCGTACTATGTGAATATATCCAATAATTTGTCTGAACTTATTTCTTTGTACACGTAAATGCCCTGCTGTGGTAATGTAATAGGAAGGCCCACAAGCTAATTTACTGCCGGGAAATGGGTAGTGGCATATACATACATACATATATGTACACGTATACATGAATTTTCTTATCTATTTAATTACACTCTTGCAACATAGCATCCTTTAAGTATTTTTCGAGATAAAAGTTAAGTTTTAAGTTCAAATTTGTATGCAAATAAATACGTACATGCATTTGTATGTATCTACACACACATGTACATACAACAAGCTCTTATTAATTGTATGTGTATACCATATGCGTAGTCTCTAATTTTGTCAGAGGGAAATTCAATTT